TACTTTGTTATTTTCGCCAAAACATGTTTGTAATTGGTTTCGCTATACTCTGTTTCTGTTGTCGTTCGTAACAATCTTCAAATTCGTATGCAAACATACATACATAAATATGTTTACCTACGCACATGTAAATATATAATTCACGTCAACACTTATAAAAAAATTAAAAAAAAAAATTAGAAATATAAAGTAAAACAAACAAAACAAAAAAAGAACATAAATTTAAATTCTCAAAAATAAAATAAATAGAATAAAATGAAATAAAACAAAATAAAAAAAATTAAAAGAATATATTAGAAAAACACAAAATAAAATTAAATATGTAAAAAATACTATAAAACAATGAAATAAGTTCCACTAAAGCAAAATTAAATTAAATTAAATTAAAAAAATTAAATTATTTTAAATTAAGAGTTGAAGGAAAAGAACAAATCAAACGAAATTAGTTAAATGAATTAACATAAATTAATTTAACTAAAATATAATAAAAGAAATTAAAATAATGTAACAAAAATCAAATAAAACAAAACAAAATAAAACAAATTAAAATAAAATTACTACAATAAAAATTGTAATTAAAAAATTAGAGTAAGTAAAGCAAAAAAAAAGTAAATTAAAAATTATTCAAATAAATTCAAATAAAAACAAAAATAAAATAAAGTAAAACATAGTAAATTAAAGTAGGTTAAATTAAAAAAAAAAATATTAAATTAAATTCAATTAAAAAAGTAAAGTGAAAAATAAAATCCAATCATGAAATCAAATAATATAAAACTAAATTAAATTTGATTACGCTAAATTAAATTAATGAAATAAATTAAAATAAATCAGAAGTTAACAAAACAATTAAAATAAATCAAAATAATATAATTTTAATTAATACGAAATAAAAGACAATACAAAAATTAAAATTATATAAAATAATTTGAATAAAATTATAAAAAAAAATAATTTAAAAAAAATTTTAATAACTTGAGCAACTAAAATTAGTTAATTAAAATAAAATAAATGAATCAAAATAAAAAAATTAATAAAATAATATAAAAATAAAGTAAAATGAAATAAAATAAATTAGAATCAAACAAAACAACATAAAATAAAATTAAATATGCAAAAAATACTATAAAACAATGAAATAAGTTTAACTAAAGCAAAATTAAATTAAATTAAATTAAAAAAATTAAATTATTTTAAATTAAGAGTTGAAGGAAAAGAATGAATCAAGCGAAATTGGTTAAATTAAGTCACATAAATTAATTAAACTAAAATAAAATAAAATAAATTAAAATAATGTAACAAAAATCAAATAAAACAAAACAAAATAAAACAAATTAAAATAAAATTAATACAATAAAAATTGTAATTAATAAATTAGAGTAAGTAAAGTAAAAAAAATTATCAAATGAATCAAATAAAGTCAAATAAAAACAAAAATAAAATAAAGTAAAACATAGTAAATTAAAGTAAGTTAAATTTAAAAAAAATTAAATTCAATTCAATTAAAAAAAGTAAAGTGAAAAATAAAATTCAATCATGAAATCAAATAATTTAAAACTAAATTAAATTTAATTATGCTAGATTAAATTAATGAAATAAAATGAAATAAAGCAGAAGTAAGCAAAACCATTAAAATAAATTAAAATAATATAATTTTAATTAATATGAAATAAAAGACAATACAAAATTTAAAATTATATAAAATAATTTGAATAAAATTATAAAATAAACTAAATAAATTTAAAAAAAATTATAACAACTTACAAATTAAATTAGTTAAATTAAATAAAATAAATGAATCGAAATAAAAAAATGAACAAAATAATATAAAAATAAAGTAAAATGTAATAAAACAAATTAGAATCAAACAAAACAATATGAAATAAAATATATAATATATTTTTGAAAATATTCACAATAATTTAAATTAAAATATAAAATAATCCAAATTAATTTATAAAAAGTTAAAATAAAATAAACACATGAAAATTAAATAAATTACTCAAAATAAAAAAATAATAAAATAATAATAAACTAAGCTAAAAAAATAAATAATAATAATAATAAATAATAATAAAAAATAAAATAATACAAATTAATTTATAAAAGGTCAAAATTAAATAATCACATGAAAATTAAATAAATTAGTGAAAATAAAAAAATAATAATAAAATAAACCAAAAAAATTAATTAAAGTACAGTATAATAATTTAAAATTAATTATATACTGTCTAATTGACGCTTTTTAACCACTGAAGTCATTTTCCGCCGAGCTCCTCCTCCAATTTTTGGTTTTGCGTCTTGATGTTTTTCCAACAAATGGAGGGAACTACAGTTTATACTAAGCCCCCTCCAAACGGCTGAGGGTTTTTTTTAAAAGGAGCCTTTATTTCGTCCGAAATACACTCAGAGGGGTGGACATTCCCTGCCGAGGAGCGACCGCAATTAGAAAATTTAACTTATTTGTTTTTATTTAAATTAATTTTCCATAACTTTTGGATGTTGGTGGCATCCCGCTGCCGAGCCTTCTGTATGTCAATAAGCAATGCTAACTATTCGGCTACCGTGACCGTCAAATTAATTAAAATTAACTAGAGTAAGATAAAATATTTGCGTAGTAAAAAGAAATCCATTATTTTCTCTAATAGATGGCGTTATTTATCTGTATCTCGCGTTGAATACACCTAAGTCCAATTTGGCCTGCTAGTTAGCGTTAGAAAGATGACATTTCGTACTAAAAAAGCTTTTCTGACACTTTCGTTTGATCTTGATCGCTATATTTTACTGCTTTTCTTCGATATGGGTGGAAACGCAAGCCAGGCTGCTGAAAATGGGTATAGCGTTTATGGTCCTGATACTGTTAGAGTTCATCATGAACAATTTCTGTATCATTTTGATATAAAAGATGCTTCACGGAATGGAAGGTCAATTGTCGAAAATTTCGATAAAAGCATGGGCATTTAGACATTTGGAACCATTGGAATAAGACATAATAAAGTATAATAAAACAAAATTAAATTGTTACAAAAGAAAGTAATACATAATTAAATTAAATGAAATAATGCAAAAAAAAAAATAAATAAAATATGGAAAGTAAAATAAAATGAAACAAAATTAAATTAAATGGAAAAAACTTATATAAAATTAATTGAGATTTAAATAAAATAAACTATTTTCTGAATGTAACTGGCCTCTGTCTAGAAATTTCTTAAACTTATCTTTTTAAGGCCGACAGCTTTTTTATTTAAGTCGTCTCAAAAACAGCAAATAAATACCCTGAAATAATGAATACCCTCAAAATCTATCAGTGATTTCCATGCTGATTATTTCATTAGGATAAAATAATTAATAAAATTATTGGTTTTCTACTGTGCTGTGCTCGCTGTTTTTCCCCAATTAACACATGTACATACCCACAGATAATTAGGGTAAATAAATATTACTAGATGCTTCTTGAAAGATAAATTTCCTGTGACGTATGTATTTTGCACACCCTAACGTGTGTCAGTTTTACTAGACCAATTAAAAGATATCGATCGCTCGAGATAAGAACCAACATTTGAATGAAATTTCATTAATTCAATTAATACAATAACATCGTTGGAGAGCGCTGTGATATGTGAATATCATACACATATACATATGTACATATATAGGCAAAGAGTAAAATTTATTTTCACTCTCTAAATAAATAATTGAAACTTTAAAAGCGCTAAAGCGATTTTTGGCGGAACTTCGCCACCGATTTTGTGTTTTCGTCTTGATGTTTTTCATCCAAATGAAGGAGCTGTCTCCAACTGATAGATTTAATTTGGGTTAGAAGTGTCCTCAGAGTTTGATGCTCACATTTTGGGAAACACATTTTCATTTATTTTATTTTATGGTTTAGCTAGAGGTAAAACTTATGACTAATTTTTTTCAAATTTTTCTAAAAAAAATTTATTTCTTTGCTGAAAATTCAAAGAAGAATACAATCAAAGTTCAGACTGCAATAAAAATCCAATCAGCCTCGATTGGTCTCAGGCTACTGAAACACCAGTAACGTCACGCTTTTGCCAAACAGCAGTCTGTTGATAGCCAGAAGCAGCTGACCGCTTACCTCAACTGATTGAGAAGTTATCTACAACTGGTCACAGTTATCAGCTGCAAAAAAAAAGATCTCGGCCAAATATTGCACCAGACGTTATGACGTCAGAACCGTATTAGTTTTTATAAGAAAAAGCAGTTTTTAAAATATGCAAACTTTCGACTTAACTACTGCAAAATAATGAAATAAATTAACTAAAAAACCAGTTGATTTGCGTAAATACGCAAATTTAGACAACAAAAACGACGGTTCTAGTGAACTTTGCACAAATAGCAGAGAGAACCAGATACCATTATATTTTGAACACAAAAATTTCTACGAATATATATATGTATGAATTACTTATCAACTGCACATTTTTTGCACGAGATGCTGGGCAACCACGTTTTTGCAGTGAACCACCACGCAGAGCGAATCGAGTAAGTAAATGCATATATATGTGTGTAAGTGCAGTAGTTCATATATATGTATATCGAATAGCGGCGTACGTGCATTTAAGGACGTAACACCGTTGCCGATCATTCTTCAATGAGATATTGTACGTACATATCTACATAAAAGTTCGTATGTACACACATATCTACAATATTTCAATTGCCGAAATAGCCGTCTGATGTCTCAGCTGGTGACAGCCGCTACGTATATATATGAATTATTTGTGTTTACAAGCGCACATATCTACATACACGCAGCCATGCAGAAAAGTCTATCCAATAATACCATCACAGCGGCGGCCGTGTGGTGGTCGTGTGACTGACTCATTTGTTTCTTTCAACGAGCGTACGTGAATTCACACAACAAGCGCTGAGCGCCAAACAAGCGCTCTTCGTATAATTTTTTGCTCACACCAACAACGAGCAATGTTTCCATTCAAGGTTTTTAGCCGGCGTTTGTGTATAAAAGCGTCTACGCGTCGTTGGGAGCAACATTCGTTCAACAATCAGCAACAAGTCAAAGCTTGAAAGCAAAAACCGAAGCAACTTAAAAAAAAAAAAATCATTTAATATTATCACAAGCATAAAGTGAAAATTTCCCAAAAAGAGACTTACACGTATATATTTACATATAAAAAGTAATTTATATTTTGGAAATTTGTGTTCGTGTTTAATTAAAAAAATAAAGTTAAAAACAAACCGAAACGATGAGCAACATTGTGAAGCAAAGTTGTCGCTTGTGCCAAACGGCTGGCAAGCAAATAAATTTTTTTCCAAATCCTTGGAAAACTGCCGCTCCAGCCTTCTCGACATCGTGCGCATGCAATCAAACCAATGCCGCCTATAAAACGGAAAGCCCTGCTGTGGTATTCTCAAGGAAAGTGTTTTCTAAAGTCACACTCAAGAAATTAACCGGTCGTCCACAAATAACCGAAGATCCCTGGAAACCATGGCCAAACAGTGTTAATCCACATACTGGCGAAATTGGCGGTCCATCTGGACCGGAGCCAACACGTTATGGCGATTGGGAAAGAAGAGGACGAGTATCAGATTTCTAGTCGTCCGTAGTGTTTTTCCTTTAAGAGTCTAGCTTTTAAGGCTTAGTAAGATATAACAATTTACAGCGAACAATGCATATTGTGTTGGGGCAATATTTTTGTACATACATAGGTACATATATAAGCGATTTAGACTGAATAAGTACTTTAATTTATATATTTTAATAAAAATCAAAAATTATTTTATGTAAAAAATTGAAGAAAACTTAAATATGACTTTTTACTCGAATTGTAGTTAAGGCGGAAGTGTTTTCTCCAAAATCTGTTATTAAAGATGGTTTCGTGTTTGTGTGATTGTGCGTTAAAATTTCAGAGCTACAGGAAATGGTAAATCCGCTATTCGGTGCACTGCATTGCCGACGAGTTGTTTTGGCTGGTATGCTTTCATTGAGATATATTAAAATAAGATTAAGCAAAGAAAAATGTTACATCTAAATAGCAAATTGCTTTGTTTAAATTAAATTCTGTTTAAGTATTCAACGGCTTCTATTCCCAGAAGTCTTTTTTACTTATTCCAAGGTTATGTAAAAAATAAAAATTATAATGTCCCTGCACCTTTCGTTAACTCATACTCACATATATGAGTACTTTTTCATACTCATGCAGCGACGTCGCTGATCGTTTCCCTGTAGATCGAGGGTCTTAAATTCAACTGACTGCAAAACTAGCTCAAGAGAAAGACCTTAATTTTGACTGGCCCGAGAGAGGGACTGTAATTTGAGTTGACATCATATCTTCCACTCAACTTCAAATATGGTGTTGTCTGATATTAATTTACACATCATATGAAGGTTCCGTTTCGACCTCCCATACAATATTACGAATATGACGTCTAAAAGGTTAGGAAGGAGTATTCCCTACGCTATAACCAGGACTTTTCTTGCTCGAAAGATACTGTAATTTAAGGAAAAAGAAGCAAATAATTAAAAAAAAATAAATCATGCAACGCAAACGGTATATTAAAGGTACCGAAGTTTCAAGAGGGAAGCGAGACGCTGTTGCAAAGGAACAAAGAATGAGCTAGGGTACGAAAGCTTGAAAAACCGGCTGACAGAGGTAATGCTAGAAAGTTATATGAAAATAGGCGTAGGCTTTTCGAAAATTTAAAAACCGGCGCTTACTCATGTCGGAGGAAGAAAAGTGATCTGCTTGCCGAAATTCAGAGCATGCAGTCTTGATGGAGGGAAAACTTCTTCAGCCTACCCGCTTGACGATCGAACTGCTCCCGCAGTTGGATTATCGATCGAGCTATTTTGGCTGCGAGGTGCTGAGAAAGTGCATACACGTACATGCTGTTTTGAGGAAGTTGGTCGAGCGGAAGCGGGCCTACTGATTAGCACCTTTGTGGCTTAAGGCCTTGTAATTCAACCATAGACCAGATATTTACCATACGCCAAGTTCTAAAAAAAACGTTGCGTCGATTTTAGAACGGTCTTCAGTAGCAGGAAAATGAGCTGCCTCTATGCCATTTGGTGTTACTGAAAATTGTATAGGCTAGGACACACCAAAAGTTCCGTTTGAAGAAGGAACCTCTCGGAACAGTTCGAGTTTGAACGAGTTTTGTGACAAGGTAACTCTGCTGCAGAGCTGAATATAGAATGTGCAATGTTCTATAAGAGTGAATGGGTCTATTAATGAACGAGGATAAGACGAAACTGGTGGAAGACAGACCCACTCGGTTGGAAAAAGCAGGTGTTAATTCAGCTGCTCATGAATAATAATAAGAATAAGTAAATGGGTACCTCGCACTGGAGATGCCCGAAAATTTGATGCCGGAGCTGATCACACACACAGGATATCAGGTTGGTGGTTGAGAACAAAGATCAGTAGCCTACTAAGTCATTTAAATTCCTTCCATTATTCTAACACATATGTACATACATATGTATGGATACAGACATTTGCATGCCCTTGAATTGAACAAAGAGAATCTAAGGCTTTGTGAACTTAATGGACGTAGTTGTGAATCTAAACCTCGAATAATATGAGCTCAAATATCTTGAGTTTATTAGAAAACGGGATTTGGGTTACAGGCCGTGGTTTCAACCGGCAATTCAGACGCCATATACTTAAGATGATTGATCCAAAATTTACGAGGAGAGAAGAATGCTTTTAATACCTAAGCAAACCCATGTGGAGAAATGCTTAGTCATTCTTTTTGTTGAAATTTTGAAAGGCAGATCATTTACCAGAGATTTTTGGATTTTAAAAAGAAGGCACTCGAAGGTGCCAAAGGCTAAACTAAAAAAAAAAATAAATTAGAAGAAGTGCTCTTTATGTTATTTAATTCCACAAAAGTTGAAAAATAGCAAAATAAATTAAATTTCTTTTTACTTATTGTTAATGTTATTTTTCTTGTTCCAAAGCGGCTTCTTTCATACGCGAAATAATGTCATGTATGTATGTATGTATATATTTATTTCAGTCCATCCAATCCACACGTGATTTTAAAATTCAACTTGTTTTTTTTATGTAAATTTCAAATTTTATGCAAGCATACCTACTGGACTAAAGCCAAAAAGAAAGAGGCGAATGATAAGTAGACTAACATGTTTTTTGTTTCTAAATATTATTGCATACTCTTTGCACGTGTTTACGAAAACTAAAGAGTAAATATTGTTCCAAAATCAAGTAAATTTAAAACGAGTAAATATTTACGAAGAAGAACCAATAAATTAAGAGACAAATGTGACAAAATTTTGTATAAACAGCAATTTCCAGACAAACAACTTTTCAAATTGGGATTAATCCCCAAATAAATGCGTTTAAAACACTATATATATATAGGCACAACATATGTATGTATGTATGTATTCACTCATACTATTCGACCCCCAAGCTCCACAAAAGAGAAAGAAGAATAGAATAAAAATACTTATATATTTACTACGTTCTAAATAAAGTCACAGTGAGAACACGCGACTACGTGCATTAAAGGACGTACTATCAGCACAGAGCTTTTGAAATTTATATATATATATAATTATATTATATTGTTTATTATTGTATTTAAATATTATATATTTCCATGACCCTTTAATGAACGCCAGAACAAAGAAACAACTATGAAATAAACAAACAACCACCCGTTTGCTCTCAACCCATGTTCTCTTTGAGCGCCAAAATACCGGCCGCCAAATATTGTACTCATGGTAACTTTCTCATAAATTTTTTTTTTTATTACGAAACAAATAAGAAATATTTCACCACAACATCCCCTGCAACATTTATTTGAAATGTCAGACACAAAAGAGACAATAAACAATAAACAGCTGATATACCAATACAGCTGACAATTTATTAATTGTCACAAATGTCATTATACAATTTCTCTTGTGGAAAAAATATTAAATAATTTTTGTGAAATAAATATTACTGGAGAACGTATAACTACAAAATGAGTGCGTTAATAAATATTGGCAAACAAACTTGTCGCTTAAGTCCAACAACTTTAAAGGGAGTATCGACAAATGTTTTAAATAACAACGTCGTCGCCATTTCGACAACAGCTAGTGCATGCCATGAAGCAAAGCCACCAAAAGAGAAGAGTGAACGTGTAAAGGAGTTTGAGAAGAAACTACGTGCAAAAACACCAATTGGCAAATTAGACGAATTTTCACAACATCCATTCCAAGAGAAGGAACCGTTGAAACCTTGGCCCAATGCAACTAATCCACATACTGGTGAAATAGGTGGTCCTGCTGGACCGGAGCCAACACGCTACGGTGATTGGGAACGTAAAGGGCGTGTGACTGATTTTTAAATTTGTAAACTACATGTTTATTAAGATGACTCTGTGTTTCTTTTTTCCATATTATTAAATAATTTCGCTCCTAAGTTAAATGTTATAGTTATTTTTTATAATATTTTCGTTCGGAAATATAAATAAAAAATAGATTTACAATGATTGACACAGATTCAGGTTCAGGTTCACGATCCAAATGAAATACCATTTCGAATTTAAAGCTGCTTTTGATTGTATCATATCGCTGCATACAATTATCAACTAAATTTCAAAGCCTTCGTAAAGACCAGATAAACTTGTATTGATCTCTTTCAAAAATAAAAGATCACCTTCATTTTGCATGCCTTCCTATAAGCTTACATAAATTAAAACTAATGAGAAATATCAATCTCCCATTAACCGATTGGCTTAACCTCGCTTGTTTTTGAAATTCTCATATTTTCCCCTTTATGGACGGTTGCATTAATCTGTTCAGCTACACCGTTGTCCCAATAAAAATAATATTTTATATATCTTTAAATCATTAATAATCGTTAATCTTCAATTTAATGCTTCAAGGGGTCGAAAAACAGAAACAAAATTTGTAAAAATCCAATAGGTTTCAAAATTTCGCCACGTTCACCTAAGGGTTAATGTGTAAACATGCAATTGCCAATTTGACAAATCGAACAGTACTACCCTAATCAAAAAAAATTGTTAACAAATTATTGCTTGCCGGGCAGCAACGCCAATAAACAACAAATACTTGAGCAATCAGAAAACCAACGCCATTTTTCAACAAGTTATGCTGATAGTGAAAACCAAAAAGCATTCGAATTTTTATTAATCATTTACAAGTTGGAAATTTCGCAAATCTGGATGAAACTAGCGAAGTTATGATTGCCGCCTCTGAACCTTTGGTAAGTCGAATAAAACAAAAGTCAATAATACAATTCGGAATAAATAAAATTTGAATTTATGTACAGGAGTTCATTCCTCGGGGTCGTCAGGCGGTTGAGGAACATCCCGGGCCCACCGATGCAAAACAACACAATCACCTACCCACAGAACATGTGCTGCTGCAACGCATGCAAAATGTGAATATATCTGCTCAGGATGAGTATAATGAATTTTGGTGTGTGCGTGAAATTTTCGAGGATTTGAATGACGATCTAACCGGAGTGCGTGCCAATCATCAAAATAATGAACCAACAAAAGACAACGCAAGTAAAAATCCCAAAAATGAGAAATGTGACAAGGACAATAGTTGTAATGAGACACATTTGTTGCAACAACAACGTGCTGCTAAAGTGGATGTCGATTACATGTGTGAATATTTGGTGAATTCCGAGGAGGAATTGTATGTAAGAAAAAATACAGCAGTGTGGACTAAAGGTAGTTACAATTAATTATATGCATTTTAAATGGAGCGTTAGTTAGTGTTTATTAATCACAAGGCAAATTGCAGGTCTAATAGATGAAAACGGTGTAATGCCACATTTATGTTTCACATGCGAGACTCCAATTAAATTTGCTTTCTTCTGCAATAAATCATTTGTTTGCCGTGCACATAACTCACGAAGCACAAACAAAAATTCTAATAATAAAAAGCGCCAAGACTCAGAAGAGGATGAAGACTTAAGCGTTATTTGTCTGATTGGTAGGAAATATAAAATTTAATAACAAATTTAACAATACATACAATGTAAATACAAATTTGTATCAAATTAATATTTAGACAAAACTGCGCTACGCATCTACTGCAGTAATGGTGAGGATTATTTATGTAATCTTGAGTTTCCTGTTTCGCACGTATGGTCCACTAACTATGGCATTCTATTGGAAAAAATACCTTCAAGTGCTATCGTACAGAATCATGCCATCTCCATGCCGCGCCTATTCTCACTCTCACATTCACTGCATGAAATTTGCCCTGTAATCTGCAAAACGGCAACAAATGTTATTAGTTATGTTGTAGAGTCTGATTACAATATCATATACACATCGGAGCATTCAGATTTGGTGTTATTATATGATAATAGAATAGGAAAACAATTTATTTCACGTTTACGTAAGGCAACCGAAGAGGAGATACAATATGTGGGCATACAAAATGAAACTGCATTGGGCGGCACTGTTGGTGGCCTGCCACATCATTCATTGAATCGCTGTGCCGGTGGTGGGTTTGGTGCAACAGGTAAGACGGTTAGCTTAAAATGTTATTAATTTCATTTATTTTTTTTTTCATTATTACTTTCAGGCACACCAAAACACAGTACAGCAAATATGGGTCGCTCTAGCTTAGGTAATCCTAATACCAACTATTCAGCACATATTGGAAAATTTCTAACGAGTGCACACTCCTTGAGTGGTGCATTGGGTAATTTGAAGTAAATTTTATTGAAATATGTTTCAAATATATCTTTAAAAAAAATTACTATTTCTATGCAGTCGTACAGCCTCACCGTTGAATAATCTGCAATCAACTATCGGTCAGCATTCGATATCAATGCAAGATATACGAAAAGGAGGTCAAGCACAGCCCGCAAAACCCATAGTGCCGGAACTGTGTTTAGAGCATATTTGGACTGAGAATACGCATGGAAAGTTAGTTTTCGAAATTAAAAGAAAATTCTCAAACATTTATATGCATATATTGACTTTTGTTTTCCTATTAGCAATCGCGAATTCGGCGAGATCGCAAATCGCGCTTTTGAGCATACCGATTTAGTCGGTCAAACTTACTTTTGCTACCTGTTGCCATTTTCTTGTAAACTGCAACTGGTGCGTCTACTCAATTACGGCACAAAAGAGCTACAAGTGTCCAATAAAAGTTTATCCATTCCAGCCAAAGATGCGGTTCCTATGGAGGTATGTGGTTGTTTTCTTTGAAAGCAGATAAATTATGAAAAAAATCTTCTTTACTCTAGCGTCTGCGCATGATAGCCGTGTTAGATCCATCTGGCAGTTTAATTTTGTATACCGGCGCGGTTATGGTCTCCAAAGTACATGTCGCGGCAGCAATGGGCAGTACAAGTGTTTGTGTAGTGACACCTACGCCCAACGCTACGACAAGTACTTTGGCGGGTAAGTCACCAAATACATCGTTTCCGAGGTAAGTGAAAGAGAAGAAGTATTTAAAAATGAAAAAAAAAAGTATTTTCTAATGCTAAACTTGCTACATACTTTCAGGCGTAGCAGTCTTTTACCCACAATACAAAAACCCACCGATACAACCTTCGATGAAGAGTTACATTTATTGTCACCTGTTCACCCACTACAACCACAATTTCCAAATCGGTAATATTTTATTTATAAATTTTTTAACTTTTCTTATGAATCTTATACGGATATTTGTATATGTTAATTTTTTCATAGTAAAACCAGCAATTTTTGCACAAGTCTACGTGATCCTGCCGGTAATCGCCTCACTTTAGTTTATCCCTATGGCAAAATGTATCGCATTGAGTTACCACAATTCAACGAAACAAAATTTATTTCACGTTGTATTGGCGCAATGCGTCGCATCTTGAATCGAGAACAATTTATGCAGCTTATTACACGTTGGTATGGTGCACGCAATCCACCGGGGTCGCGTGATTATAGCACTGAGCAGGAATGGCAGATTTTTCGTAGTGTTCTTACCGATTTAATGGGTTGCGCTGCTGCTACACATGAAACCACAACCAATGCTACATATTCATTTAATGCTGATGAGCCAAAGAAGCGTCGTAAAAATGATGAAATCACCGAAGGTACCGATGCAGATTGGGAATTCATGTTAGCTGTGCTAAATGAAGATGGTGATTGTGCGAAAGATGGCATGGAAATGGAAACCGAACAGGCTGCTGGTACTACTATCGCAGATAATGTCGATATAAGCGCGTGCTTATTCAAAAGCATACCGGCAATATTTTTTTGCTTGCATTTATTGTATGAAGACTTCAAGTTGGACGAGACAATGCACGAATGTCTGTTGCATTTGGCGAAGGTGAAAAAACTTAGTAATAGTTTCTATTTATTTTAAACTACATTTCACTTCACTTCCCTGTAGTTTTTGCATCAATTCGCGCTCGATATGCAACTTATGACGTATGTATTTCATTATACTTTGGATTTTCCTCAATTCGTTCACACCACAAAAAAATTGTGTCAACTAACCGAGGAACATGCTGGATTAATGACTCACAAAGAGTTGTTGCAAGCTCCTGCGCCGAGTGTTTACAAACAGTTGGAACTGATTTTAAAAGGAAATGATATCTTGCAGTATAGTTTTGTCGAAGGTCTTAACGATATGAGTCGAAATGTATTGCAGGTATATGTGTAAGCAATTACCGAAATCATTTATTTCATTAAATGTTACAATCCAATAGGTGATCTCACTTATAATGCATGGTACACAGCGAATCAAAGATTGGATTAAACCGCTAGAATTCGCTGACTCAGTGCAGTCTTACTATCCAAAGCGACCGAAGCGTTTCATTTCAACGAATGTGCCGCGTGTAGAGCAAGTTATACAAATGCTTTTAAATATGGGTATGGCGAAGCCTTATGTTTATGCTCGGAAAGCGCAAATAGTAAACAATTTCTTATATTGACTTTTATTGCCAGATATTACACGCACCGATATCGCTCGTCTGCCAGTCGCCATACATCTCATTATCGCCGAGTGTTTGGAGCAAGCACGCATTTCGCCGCCTCTTGGTTGTTCAGCTGCTACTTATGAGTTGATTTTGCGCACAGAATTAGTTGCGCATGCGCTCTTGCAAGACGATACACCCTCTAATAGTGTTAGTAGACCACAACAAAGCTCACATGTTGATGCTGAAGACTCGTTGTCAGCTCGTTGTCCACCCGCTACTAACGGCATTTCACATATGGAAGCAGCACTCGATGATGGCATGGATAATATCGATACGAAGTTGTTGAATTTACGTTTTCCCGATGATATGCGTATTGCTGAAGTGCGTCGACTACTCACCTCGTCTGAACCTGTGCTTATAGACATTGTTCAAAAGGCCGGCATGACTGATCATCGTTTCATTGAGGAGCAGGAACGTCAGTTGTTTGCACTATGTAAACGTACAATGGCTTTACCGCTCGGACGTGGTATGTTTACGCTACGCACATCTATACCAACACCCACTGAACTGATGCCGATACCGAAATTGTGTTTGTCCGGCAAAGAGCCCGTTAAGGGTGCCACAATTGAAATGCAACAAATTGAATTACCAGCGAATATGAGTCTTTGGCCTTCATTTCATAATGGTGTTGCAGCTGGTTTGAAAATCTCCCCAAACGCACGTGATGTGGATTCCACATGGATTGTCTACAATAAACCGAAAGCACAAGAAGAAGTATCCACAGAGCATGCCGGTTTCCTAATGGGTCTCGGTCTGAATGGTCATCTCAAGACGCTTTCTTTTATGAGTATTTATGAATATTTAGTAAAGTGTGAGGAAATGACAAGTGTTGGACTGCTTTTGGGTATTTCCGCTACACACCGTGGTACTATGGATACTACCACAACGAAGCTTTTGAGTGTGCATATTGAAGCGTTATTACCGACAACAGCATTGGAACTGGACATACCACAGAATATTCAAGTGGCGTCGCTAATGGGCATTGGATTTTTATATCAAGGTTCTGCGAAGCGTCACATTGCCGAGGTATTGCTGCAGGAAGTAGGTGAGTTTTTGGAAAACGTGTACTATTTTTTTATGTTACCGGAGGGTGAGAGGTATATACTTACATTTTATTGGTGTCTCTCTTTCGAGTCGGAAAGGGAAGGAAGACATAAGAATATTTCAATTTTCCCTTAACGCAATCTATGTAATCCCTTGAATCTTTCACGGAGTGTGATTTAACATCTACTTCAACTCTCTCCCCTTGAAGGGCGACGTTGAAGTATAACTCATTCCAACTACGAGCTCATGAACAAGTTTATTTAGACTATACTAACTGACCTCATTGCAACAACTCATTTAGTTATACCTTATTTATCACTTTTCGCGCCCAGGCCGTCCCCCTGGTCCAGAGATGGAGAATAGTGTGGAACGTGAATCGTACGCTCTGACCGCTGGTCTTGCTTTGGGTTTGGTAACTCTGGGCTTAGGCGAATCACCAGCCGGTCTATTAGATCTACAAATACCCGATACACTACACTATTACATGGTCGGCGGGAATAAACGGCAGCTAACCGGCTCGCAAAAGGAAAAGTACAAATTGCCATCATTTCAAGTACGCGAAGGCGACAACGTCAATATCGACGTAACTGCGCCCGGTGCAACACTGGCACTTGGATTGATGTTCTTCAATACGGGTAATCGTGCAGTGGCCGGATGGATGGATCCACCGAATACACATTATCTACTCGATTTGGTCCGTCCTGATTTGCTTATGCTACGCACAATTGCGCGTGGTCTAATTCTGTGGTCGGAAATAAGATCCGACCCCGATTGGTTGTTTGGCCAATTTCCGTCCAACTTCAAAATAGATCTTGAGCGTCCATATTACTGGAGTGATAAGTATGAAACGGGTGTGGATTATGAGTCTGAAGCGTAAGTTCATTATGCGATTTCTTACTTATTATACTGTGGTATTAATAACCGCCTTTTTTCTTGCAGTCAAGCCTGGTGCAATGTCATTGCTGGCGCAGCCTTCTGCATGGGTCTGAAATATGCTGGTAGCGAAAATCAGGAAGCCTTCAAAACACTACACAAAGCGCTCAAAACCTTTATCGGCTTTCAAGGCAAACATGTTTTCGAGTTTGCTGGATATACAACGGTGGAATGTTGCCTCATGGTCATTTTAATTGCTATATCCATGGTGTTCGCCGGCTCGGGCGATTTAGAAATATTGCGCATCATTCGCTACCTACGTTCACGCATCAGTTTTCGTGATCGTTGTCGTGTCAATTATAATCCGAATGTCACGTTCGGTTCTCAAATGGCTATACATATGTCATTGGGTTTGTTATTTTTGGGTGCTGGCCGTTACACCATAGCTAATACGCCAGAAGCGGTGGCTGCACTAATATGTGCTTTCTTCCCGAAGTTCCCCAACCATAGTAATGATAACAGGTGAGTAAGAGAGATGAGGTGACGATCAGGAAGAATTTAGGTTACCCCCACACAGTTTTTGGACTGGTGCAGCAGTTTTAGCTTCCCCACAGGAACCTCAACATGATGTTTTTACAACAGGACATCCACCTTAAGCGAATGGGAGAAGAAGCAGCTAGACAACTCTCAAGCCGGATTTTATCCGGCCAAGGGTTGTTACCCTTTCGGCGACCTTATCCTCAACGTATGCACGTATGCCTAGCATGTGGATAGTCTCCCCTAACCACTAACCACCTCTTCACATGGACGCCTAAGCCGATACATCTAACCCCCTCTCCCTCTGGTCCGATACCGTCGAAGCAGCACGTTTCCTGTACATCCCGTTAAAAAGCATCCGTGACCTAAATTAAACCTGTCCCTAAGCGAGGTTAACGTAGCCGGTACAACAACAACAACAGAAGCAGTTAGAGTCCTGCAATCTCTATTCGATGTTTTTATTTTCCTAAGTAATGAACGCATGAGAGGCCTTTATGCTGTCATTTCCCTCTACAATCTGATCCCTGCATCAGATCACCAAAATGATTCGCCTTACAACCGCACTAAACTCTCAGACAATTCTTAGTCTCAATCAAGCCGACCCTGCGCGCAAGCTATTTTCGCAGCATTGCTACTATCGGGCATTGAGGACTTTTCTCAGATAGCAGACGTTTGCTAGTCCGAGCTGTATCGTCCGAGAAATCCTGGTGCCATTAAGGTCTGAATGTTGTAGTAAGTTCGACTAGACGTTATCCAGCATACATTAAGCCTCCTTTTGACATTAACCATCTCTACATGTTTTTTTTTTAACTGTTTCTTCCAACAAATCTGCATCTGGTCCGAACTCCCCGAAATAGCTAGTTTTCTTGAGCCCAGGTTAGACGACCTCGATGTCATAGTCCAGCTTAGTTTCTCTTAAAAAGGATGAAGAACCGCTAAAACAACAACAGAGACTTTATGAGAATATGTAGGACTTTGAAGAGAATCTCGACTTGAATAATTTGTGTTACCAATTTCTATAATATAAACCGTTATGAAATTTTTAATAAATAACACTGAACCTTTCGTTTGCATCAATTTCAGATACCACTTACAAGCCTTTCGCCATCTGTATGTGTTGGCCGTAGAGCCGCGTCTCTTCTTACCAAGAGATATAGACACGAAAAAGTTGTGTCTCTGCCAAATATCTGTGCTGGAGTTGGGCAGTAAGGAATTGCGGCGCCTACCCATGGCACCGTGTATGCTGCCACCATTACACACCCTGCAGAAAGTAATTGTAGACGATGACAATTATTGGCCGGTTTGCTTTGAGAAGGAACGAAATTGGGCGCAGTTGCTGTGCGTAAAAAATTGGTTTCACTTCACGCATATAGAAACTGCTTAGCTAATTGAACTCTTCTTTTCTACTTGCAGTAAAGCTTTAGAGAATTCCGCCTGCATAGACATTAAAAAACGTTCCGGTTGCCTTTCACATCTGGAGGATCCCGATCGCTTAAAGAGCCTTTTCGCGCAAACGCTCACCACCCAACAGTATGCTTGTTGGCATGTAAATGCAACGGCGCTAGAGCGTTTCTCCAATGATCCTTTCGTTACAAGTTTCACCGATCGCTTTCTGCATATTGACGCCGAGATTATCACACAGGATGAGCTGTTGAAGGTGCAGCAGCTCACAATGCTCTTCTACAATGCTGTTATTAAGGATAAAATGCATGTTTTGCCTATCTATTTAACTACATTCAATGTGAGCAAAATTTTGTATAATTTTCTACTTTTTTTTATATCCATTTCTTATATCTTCCTTCATTTTCAGCTCATTCAACGCGTACAACACAAACCAGATGCCAAAGATATTTGGCAAATGAAGCTCATGGACTTGTATATGGAGAAGTATGCCGAACCCCATGTGCTCATAACTAGTGAATTGATTTGCGCTCTCGTTGAAAAATTCAAAGTGTTCATTGAAAATACTCGTCGCGCACTGGCGTCAACACTGCGTAGCTTCATCAGCACTCCAGCGCTGGAGTCAAGTATTACTGCCGATTTGTCCAGGGAGGAGTTGGCACGCTTACTCGCTGTTGTGAATTTTTATAATTTATCACCGAATGTATTGAGTTTGGTTGATCTTAGCGGTACAGTTAACTATATAAGATATTTATATGAGTTTAAAAAGCTCAATTTGGATGTTCATACTATAAATTGTTTGATTAAAATATTAATGCAAACGAGCAGTAGTAATGAGGCTGCTTGAGCATCTGCAGCTGGTAGTAGCAGAAAAGTGCAACAAATGCTTATGTAAAATGATAAAGGGAAAAATTAAGTTTGTTATCAGTTAGAAATTGATAATTTTTTGTACTAAAATAAAATTTGTATATTTATCGCGCAAATGTTATTTGATTAAAAATAAATAAAAAAAACAAAGTGCATGTTGAAGACGAGTATCGTGAATGTCTTGCTACAGTGATACTTTTCGCAGCTCACAAAAATACGATATTTTGCTAAAGAACTAAAAAAAATCTGTTTATTTACCGTCCAAAATTGCCATCTTGAGAAGTGCCATTTACCTCCTGAGACCCGTTTCACGTTTGTACCATATGCTATGAATAACCACCCTACTCCTCTTCTCCTTTTTTGCTTTCTCTCCTTCCTCTGCTGTTTGTTGAAACGTTTCGTCAATCCCGCTTAGAAGCCGGTGAGATTAGTTTATCTTATCGAGGTCATCTTACAGAAGGTTACGGAATCGTTCTTTTTCGATGGGTTCGTACCAGAGGCAAAGTGGTTCTAAATGAGATGCAAAGAGATGGTTAGTGTCGTACGTAATCTCATTACATGCATTACATACATGCTCAACATATGTACATATTTGGGTAAAGTCTGGATATGTACAAAATTGAGTCGAATTAGTTGTGCCAGTGTCACTCGGGTTTCTGGAAGCAGCACGGCCTCTTCGTTTACAAAAAGCGGTGCTTGGATTCCAAGAACCTATCGATATGTCGTTGTTGTCATAGCCGTTGTTCCAACCCCCTTGGGGACAGGCTAATTTGTCTAAGTCACCGAAGTCATCTAACGGGAGGTCCAGGAAACGAGCTTTTTCGGTTGGTTCGGACCAGAGGGACAGGATGGTTTGATGAGGCATGTAAGGAGGTGGTTAGTGTCGTGCGGGAAATCCGTTGCACGTTGGACATTTTTTAGGTTTGTTTTGGTCAGGATAGCTACATTATCCAGACCTAAGTTTCACCAGTATTACGGCAGTGGTTGGTTGTTCGGTGATTTGACGGTATGCCGTCCTATCGGAACAAATTCTGCCGAGCGTCCAAATGGGAGCAACCAATGGCTCTAAGCTGTACTCATCTCTTTAACAATTTCCTGAGAGGAGATCTTGCGGCTTTTCTTCGTGAAGTTTACGTCAATCTGAAAGAATAAATCGTCCTTAACGCTGTTATAGGAGGAAGACTTTGTCGCACATTTCAATACCGTCATTGAAAGTAATGGAGTCGAAAAGTTGCTTCTGCTCTTTGCAGTGAAGAAAAGAGAGAGCTTTGGTGAGAGGAATGAAATCTTAATACTCTACCCAATTGTAGGGACTAACCTGATCTACGGTTCATTTAAAAACATTTCCCTCTTTTAAGTTCAAAGGATATAAATCTTTTGTATTTTCGTTCAAATATTTATTACAAACTAAAGTTTATTTACAATACATTTCAAAATATAATAAAAAATTTATATTAACAACTGCACAAGTGACGAAAAATCTCGTACAACAATTTAAAAAAAGCTGCGGAAGCACTAAATTTTTTTCAAAACTTTTGACTACAAAAAAGGTCAGTAAAATGTCCTCGATTTTAATAAAGGGTGTTTTTTTTAGACGTGTGGTAACAGCAATTACTTGATTTATACTCAATTTTTTTGCCATTTCATAATGAACAGACCTCCAAAAAAACCAACTAGTGCTAAAATTGAAGCCGAACGGCCGTTGGTGTTGTTGTTGTAGCGGTTTCTTTAACCCCACTTAGGGGCAGATATAAAATCAATCTAAGTTACCGAGTTAGTCTCACGAATAGTCCAGGAAACGTGTTGTTTTTCGACGGGATTGGATCAGAAGGGTAGGGAGGTCAAAATTGTCGCTTTAAGGGGGCGTTTTAAGAGATGGTTAGTGTCGTGCGGAGGTTCTTCACATGCAGGGCATACGTTGGTTATGCTGATGTCGAGTCTGGATAAGTAGGAGTTTAATCTGCTACAATATCCAGACCTACGTTGTTCCAGTGCCAAGCGGGTCTCTCGAGGCGGCTCGAGCTCGTTGTCTGCAATGGGTGGTTGTTTTTCTCCGAGCACGCCCTTCACGGGAAGGGAGCCTTTAAAGGCGTTGACTGACTTCTGGTAAAGGCGTTCAGTGCTTGTCTGTACGCCGTTTTGCCCAGCGGTTCTTATCCGTTTTGCTGAATGGTGTCCTTCATGTTTAGTACTCCCTTTCTCCCAGGTGGAGGTTCAGCTTCTATAAATTGCCTATTGGGGTGCTACTTACAGTGGCATACCAATAGCAATTGCTTGCACAACAATGCTCCGCCGTCGGCCGTTGAGTGTGTCACATGTTCGGTGAATGTGTTTAAAACGAGATGGTAGCTGATCTTAATATTTTAGTCGTTAAGGTACGCTATAAATCCACATTTAATTACTTTTTCGTGCCTGAATTGGAGAATATGGATGTGGGCAATTATTTCGTGTCGTAGACTCTTGGTGTGGCTTCTAAGATCTCGATTTAACACCGCTGGAGTATTTTTTGTGTGATTATGTGAAGTCACTTGTCTATGCAAGAAAGCCTCTCGAGTGACACCCCCGAAGAGAATATTCGGCGCTTGCTTGCTGATATACGTTTATGATTGCTGCTAAAGTAAAAAAATTGGGCCCTTCGACTATCGGGTCATTTTATCAATATCATTTTAAAAATATAATGGCAAACCCTTATCAATAATCTAAGTAAGCTAAATTCTTGGCCACTTCTTAGCATTAACAATTTATTTCTTTTTGAAAACCACATGTTTAAAGAAACACCCTTTATTTTGTATTTCAGTGCCCTTAACAGCACTTTTTGGAAACCCTTTCACCCAAGCGATGGGATAGATGTGATGCATTTAATAAATAGGAACGACTACATTAAGTCTATCGTCTTTAATCTACCACCTAATTAATACCTATGAGTTGGGGTAATAGATTGTTGGGTATCTGGTAGTTGCCCGTCCTTAATACCACGCTCGGCACAACGTTTGTAAACGTACAGGCCGAGTAAGGGTATGGGCGTTAATATCGCCACTGAGACGGGAATGACTGTAGTCAGGTCGGCTTCTGGTTGTGGCAAACTGAAGCGCAAAAGGAATATCGCAATGCCCGTATTCTGTATGCCCGTCTCAATAGCAATGGTCAACGAATCGACGGAGTTCCGCCGTAGAGCCTTTGCAGCACACCAAGCTATTACGTAACCCAGCCAAGGCAGTGCAAAACCGGCAACGATGATCTGTAAACAAAGAAGTCAATTTTTAACATTTTAACTAAAGTCGCAGAGATCTCATCAAAGTAACTCACCTCCCACGAGAACAACTCGAATAAGTAGAGATTTGTCACGATGGCAAAGATGACGATGAAAAGTATAAGGCACGTACATATCGGTTTGAGTAAACGCACCAGCACTCGTGTCAGCCGCGGACACCAACGTTGTATGCATAAACCAATGCCGAGTGGCACCACCAACGATACCGCAAATGTTGCAATGTTTTCGTAAGGTACTGTGATATTTGCACGATCGAAAATCAGCTGGCCGAGTGTGAAGATCCACAAAGGCATCATGCCAAAGGCGGCAAAGTTACTTATGGTAGTCATGAGTACGGAGAGATTTATGTTACCACCCAATATGACAGCCCAGATATTCGATGCGCCACCGCTGGGCGAAACACCCGTAAAGAAGAGACCCAACTGCAATTCTGGTGAATCGGGAAATATGAGCACACCAAGGCCATAGCCGAGGAGTGGCATAACAATGAATTGTGTTAAAAAGCCAATGAGCGGCGCGAAAGGGCGTGATAAAAGGCTGCGCAACACGGCCACATCTAAAGCAGCGCCGAAATTAATATAGAGTAAGGAGACAAGCAGCGCTACAGAGCCGGTGAATACATGATCGATAATACGTGTGCGCCGTATAATCGTTAGCTCGAGTGTGCCTTCAGCACGTTCGCTGGTGTTGACGCGACGCACATAAACTTTGGTGGAGCCGAGAAAAAGCGCATCGACAGTAACATTACCACGCCAATTTTGTGTTGTGGGATTTATAACATCGGCGGGTATGAGATACTCTACGTTAGCCAGGTGTGGATTTTCGCTTAAGACCTCGAAAGCAGCGTCGAACGGTAAATCTGCAAGAGCAAAAGTAAGATATTAAAAAGTGTAATTTTTGAAGTTTAGTTCTTTAAAATAATATGGAAAACAATTTCTTACGAATCGAACCTTTTATTAGCAGTGGGTTTCTGAAGAGACTCTTCAATATTGTCAGATAACAAAGCCTTTGTGTGGACAACAAAGACTCGGAGTTTCATTTTTATGCTATGAAACTGAGCTCGAGCCGACGACAAAGACTGGGAGTCGACTTTTAGGAAGAAAATGTACCCCCGACCTTTAAGGAATAATAACGTTTGGCAAGATGAGCTAACCGCTCGGCTACCGCGGCTGCCATAAAGCGGCGGGAATAAAAATGTTACAGACTTGTCAGAATACCCATCAGAGGACAATGATGGAACACTATCTAATACCGACTGTAATGCTTTCCTGGAATTAGCAGACGAGGCATATTTGGATGGTGTCATCGGCATCCATTCACTTTCTATTGCAGACAAATAACTCGAGCTGCCTCGAGACACTCTCAAGTGTCTTTTTCAAATAAAACGTGGCTATTTTAATGGAGTTAATTATAATTCCTTTAGAATGGTATAAGCATTTGAAAAAACGATTGACATTCATTACCGTTATCCTCGTGTAACCCTAATTTACTGTTTGCGCGCTCATTAAACCAATATCTCTTTCTTCTTGGCACGAGCCGGTCCAAACAGCTCATTCCCTGGGTATTCTGGGTAGTGATTTTGGTATGATGATGCCTTCGAAGGGCCGATCACTGTTTTACAACAAAAAAGCCGAGGTGATATTTATGTCTAGGATGGTTTCGACACGAAGTGGCCTTAGGTATGATATATACTACTATACTACTCGCGAAAGGATTTAACTGTGTCTAGAGTGGGACTAGCGATATCTGAAACATTCCAATAAGACGGGACTCGAGGGTTAGCCCTACGACCCACAAGCCAGAACAATAAAACAGAAAAAACCTCTCAAAGCAATAAAACAGCCACTCTTAACATTCGTGTACGGTTCGTCGTATCTCTATGTACATATGTATGTATGTATGTGTGTATACACCCACTAATACCTGTTAATTCCAACAACACATCAGCGCTCGTTCCCATATGCATTTGCAATTGTAACGGTGTGAATTTAGCTTGCCAATTGGGGGCCGTTGCACGCAAGACATGCTTACTCTCCGCGCCGAACTTGTAAGGTGTCACTTGTTGCGTTGCTGTGGTGATCGCGTTTGTTGTTGTTGTTGTAGTAAATGTAGCTAGCAAAATGCCACAAAATAATATTGCACAAACACGGTTGATTGGATGCATTGTTTTTGTTTTTGTTTTTTTTTTTTTTGATTGCTTTTAGAATAAATTAACAAGTGGTTTAAGTGGATTTAAGGCACACACACACATATAATATATTTAATATTAACATTCATGCACTTACACTTAGATATTTATATACATATAAGCATTTAACAACACTTAAGTAAATATTTTTTTGCTCAATTGTTTTACGGTAAAACTTGGTAGATGTTCGTATTTATGCCGGGAGTTTGTAAATTTTCTCCACAGTCATGTATTTGCCTATGAGTATATATGTACATATATGCATACATACATACATACATAAGTATATTACTGCATGCAAGTGCTGCTTATCGCTCACAGGTGTGGAGTGTGGATAACTTGTTTGTAGATACTTTTAATTTATTTTCACATTTTTCTTCGCATTTTTCTCGTCAAATTTCATCAACACCTTCACGCCAATTTCATTTCGTTTATTAGAAAGTATTTTCGTATCGAAAATCTTTTACATTTTAATAATATATAAAGTAGATAAACTGAAACACATCACCAAAAAAAGAGCCGAAAAGTACAAACATCCACGAAACCATGCAAAGTCGAGATACAAATAATTGAATAAAATCACATTCTGCTCCACAACCCAAAACTCGTTGGCTCGCTCTGCGCTCTCAGCAATAAAGTGGGCTCAAAACTAAGCTCGCGCTTGGCCGCTCAATCGTTCAGAGTGAGTGTAGTAAATTTGACAATCTTGAAGGTCTTTTGCGCTTAGTTATGGCGGCGCAGCATTTGCCGATTTCGTTTCGAAGCAGTTTCTTAAAAATTTTTCATTAATATTTCTCGACTAAAAATAAACGACCTCCGCAGTACACTGCGGAATACTTGTGGCCTGAGTTTATTACTACTAATCATAGACTGCTACACGGCCACTTATGATTAACCGTCTGCTCTGCAGCAGAAGCAACGATAGCGAGGCTGTCACGCAGCGGTGATAAAGCAAAAATTTCATTAATTGCTCGTTTGTAAAGAGCAAGTTTTCTCAGATAAGAGATAAGATTTATCAATTGTTACTTTAAGATCGATTGTTATAAATAAATTGCGGCTGTGTGGGTGATGTTTTGATAAAATGTTTAAATTAAGAAAACAATAAATATGCACTCTCTTCAGACATATACATGCTCTCGCGTGTGTGGCATGACCTCGAGCTATGGGAAGGTCAACTTCAAAATAGTTCTGTGGTCCTCCATCAGCAGCGAATGTCAATACTTTCGAACAAATACTTCTTCTTCTTCTTCGTTAACAACATTCCTTATTTTCCCTGAATGGAAATACCAAGTGAAGCCAGGCCCTTCTCCAATTGGTCATGCCATCCTCTGCATCCATCGACGGTTAATGAATCAAAAACTTGCAAAGCTACAGTATTCTTATTCATCCGGACCAGATGACCCAGTATAGCCGCTACCTCTTCATTCACTGTTGTTGTTGTTGTTGTAACCGCAAATTATTCCCCGAATTGGTTTTCGGGGAATGTTGCGGGAGTGGCAGTCCTTGGCCGGATTAAAATTCGGGTCGTTCCGGTATAAAGACCCGACTGTCGCGGAAACTATTGGATTTTAGTCGCCTCTTACGACAGGCATGCCTTAATACGGATAAATTCTTAAGCCCCTAACCCGCAGGGTCTGTTCATTCACTGAACTATATCAATGTCGTCGTATATGGTACAGCTCATCGTACCATCAATCAATCCTTTCGCCCATGTCTCCGCATGGGAATGATGAGCGTGTTATAGAGTTTGGTCTGTGTTCATCGAGTGAGTACATTTACTTTTCATGTGCTACTCGGTATAAGTAGTAATTTTGCGTTGTATTTTAAGGCTAACATTATTGTTGGTGTTATCGCTGGCTCCAAGGTAGACGAAGTTATCAACGACTTCAAAGTTATGACTGTCAACACTGATCCGCGGGCCGAGTCGTGAAAGCGAAGACTGTTTGTTTGAAGACATATATTTCGTCATATCGGACATTGAGAACTCCCCATAGCCGCCGTGATTGAAGAGTACCACTAATTCAATGCGTGTTCAGTAGTAGTTTATAGAATTCCGAGGTTACAGCTCCGAGAACAAAAAAAATAAAAAAAGAGTTCCTCTGGATAGCGTCCTCTCCACGTTAATGTTTAATTTTTAGGGTTTTAAGTTCATCCACGAGCAGAGAATATTGATAACTTTTGCTCAAAGGTTATCTTTCCGACAGAAGTAGGAATACTTCTTTAGTACGCAACAACTATAACTATTACCGGCCACATTGTTCACTACTTGAACGAAGACCTATCAGTGAGAAAGTACTGAACTTTACCGTGCACAGAGACTCACTCAAAAGCTCCATTGATTCTCTTCCTGGTGAATACCAGGCCAACAGCACTAACCAACTGGCTGTATACTAAAACCTACTGATCTAACAACAGTTTCTTTCTGGTTCTAGCTCATTATTTGGGTCTCCCATTAAATAACCACGAAAACTGTGACTACCTGTTCCAAAACGGGGTTAACTATCCTCCACCAGAAGGAGTCTCCCTAACCTCGTATCCCGCGAGTATTACTTGCTAATGAAACATCAATCATTAACCAGGAGTCAGTCAACACCTTCAAAGACTCCATTCCCGTGAATGACGAGCTCGGAGAAAAACCACCACCCATTGCATACAACGAGCTCAAGCTGCCTCAAGAGACCCGCGTGACCTTGGCACAACTTAGGTCTGGATATTGTAGCAGGTTAAGCTCCTGCTTATCCAGTCTCGACCCCAGCATATCGAACATGTGCCCTACATGTGGAGAGTCCCCGCATGACACCAAACCTCTTCACAACCCAACAACAACAACAACAACAACAACACGTTTACAGGTCGCCTCAGCACATCACATCACATTAACTTGTCACATTAACACATTATCGAAATTTCACCAATAATCGTATATCATATCACGTCAACATCACCATGTGATATCTAATCAAATCCTCACTCTAGCAGAGAACTTAGAGTATCGAGAAGGTGCAATTCTCTGGTACAACAACGACCGGATCGGTACCACATCAGCAGTTTCCATACATCATCAGAGAACTTAAAATAAAATAATAATATTTTAAGTTCTCTGCATCATCGTAGCAATATCAAAATATTCTCTGCATATGTTTGTATGAAAGTATAAATTTAACTGATACGCACTACAAAAGTTACTGCATATATTTAGGGGCCAATAACGCAGCCCGAGTATTAGAGAACTTTGAAAATGTTAAACGTTTTCTTCATTCCTCTCATTTAGATAGTCTAATCAAACAAATCCCAACTAAAATGAAAACAATTATTATGTTATAGTAAATTTTTTATTTTGAAACATTCTTATCAAGTACGTGCCTGTCGGCATTATCTCTGNGAGAGAGGAGTTAGGGTGGTCAACGAGTATGTTAAATTGAAAACAGTTATGAATATTGAGAACGTTTTAGTCCAACGGTTGGCAAGAAGACAAAAGGGAAAAAGGGAGTTAACCGATTGCTATTTATTGAATTGCTGACGTCAGTTTTGAACTTGACAAGTATAGGGTTTTGTTTTCGATCTCTGTGTAAATCAAAAGGTCAAACGCAAATGTTCATCGAATTAAACGATATTTTGTAGCGGAGTTAATCGAAATGTGTAACCTTCTACAGAATGAAAGTTTTAGGCCAAGCCATGACCTATTTTGAAAATAATGCGTTAGCCCTTTAAGTAATTAATGCATTTGATTTTTATTTCATTTTATTTTTTTTTTGGAGGCAACCAGCAATACGTGCACCTTTCAGAATCTTCTGTGGGCCATACTTCTTGCGAATAGACATCACAGCATATCGAACATGTGCCCTACATGTGGAGAGTCCCCGCATAACACGAACCCTCTTCACACCGACACATCTAACCACCACCACCACCACCACCAACAACAACAACAACAACACGTTTACAGGTCGCCTCAGCACATCACATCACATTAACTTGTCACANTCATACATAGACGTTGAATAGCAGCAATGTTGGCGTCCCAACAACAATGTGTGTATATATGTACATATGTATGCGCGAAAACACGTACGTGCAAGCAAAAGCAATAATGAAAACAAAACAGGTTTCTGCGACGTGAACGTCGACGCTAACGTCGCTGTGGCGGTTACTTTTGCCGTTTGCTGCGGCGGCATTGCTTCCCAGCGTGTTTACACGTTAAAAAAGGTGGGGCGCAACGTGGCCAGGGTTGCATGTGCACATTGCCTTAAAAGCAAAAACTGGTATAAAAACTCATATGTTAAAAAAGAACGTATATGAAGAAGCAGCTACAAGACTCATACCAAAGAACGTATATGAATATGAAGCGACAAGACTCATACGGTTTTTGGGCAAATGCGGTAAAGTCGCCGCCAAAAGCAAACATTCAAAGCGAATTGAGCTTATATTTCCCCCTATATTTATATTGGTTGACGAAACATGGTGTGAAGAGAACACGAAACACATAAAAGCTCCTCCTGCCCTTAATAAATATATAAAATAGTTTCATATACCATCGAAACCTGTTTTAACCGAGGTATTTCGTCCGGATGTCTGAATTTATTTGATATCAAAAATATACTCCATATACGTTCTCTGGTAGTACATTCATGGGAGTTCGGAACAAAATAAACAGTTTGTTTATATGAAAATAAATTGTGGGTTAGCAAAAAGGAAGGTTAATAATAATTCTTCAGACTAATATTTAGAAGTTCAGAGATGGAACTCGAAAGATTTTTAAAATCATCGAAGTTTATTTGGCAGATATGGTAGCCCTTAATTTCCAATTGGATTTTATTTAAATAAATTGAATTGGTGTGGTGAATATAACAGGGTTGCAATTATTATACACGATTAAAACTTTTGAAAATGTAAATTATGAATTAAAATTACTTATTGATTTTATTAAATATAAACCAAGAAATAAGCTCAGGTAAGATTTTCCGTTTGGTTTGATAGTGCAAAAATTTATTTGAAATTTTATTCCATATTTTATACGACATCTGCTCTGCAGTGTTGCCGATGCATAAATAACTACGTTTTCACTAATTTGAAATGCGCAATGCAACGAATTGGAATTTTTATGTGCACATTTGCTCATCCCTGTGTCGCAGTTGTGCGCGAGAAGCCGAATTGTTGAGACGCGAGTGAAATTAGTGCTGGCTGAGCTGCTTTCATAGAATTCTCTGCTAGTAGTGGTAAATGAGTAACATTTGTGTGTGTGTCGTCAACATCACCATGTGATATCTAATCAAATCCTCACTCTAGCAGAGAACTTAGAGTAACGAGAAGGTGCAATTCTCTAGTACAACAACGACTGGATCGGTATCACATCAGCAGTTTCCATAAAATATTATTTTATTTAAAGTTCTCTGCATCATCGTAGCAATATCAAAATATTCTCTGCATATGTTTGTATGAAAGTATAAATTTAACTGACACGCACTACAAAAGTTACTGCATATATTTAGGGGCCAATGACGCAGACCGAGTATTAGAGAACGAACGAAAATGTTAAAAGTTTTCTACATTCCTCTCATTTAGATAGTCTAATCAAACAAATCCCAACTCAAATGACAACAATTATTATGTTATAGTAAATTTTTTATTTTGAAACATTCTTATCAAGTACGTGCCTGTCGACATTATCTCTGTAATACACTTTATAGCTTTAGAACGTTATCATTTCAAAAATGCAAACTAAAAAAATGAAAGCCAATTAATTAGATGTAATAGACAAATGTACAATCTCCAATGATGCTGCTATCTAGAAACTAAATTCTTCCGCTTTAGTATCTGTAATGATCCGGCTTGAATGGACCAGTTTTTGATACACCCAAGTATTTGGATTGATCATCACTTAATTTCGTCAATTTCACTCCCAATTTTTCCAAATGCAGGCTGGCTACTTCTTCGTCGAGTATTTTCGGCAGCATGTGAACATCAACATTGTACTTATCAGCTTTGGTCCACAATTCAATTTGGGCCAGTACTTGATTACTGAATGAATTGGACATGACAAAGCTGGGATGACCATGCGCACAACCTAAGTTTACTAAACGACCTTCGGCCAACAAGATTATGTGTTTACCATTGGATAGAGTGTAACGGTCAACTTGTGGCTTAATATTAATTTTTTCTTTCGCGTTAGCATTCAACCAGGCAACATCAATTTCACAATCGAAATGACCAATATTGCAAACGATCGCATCATCCGGCATGTGTTCGAAATGAACGCCGGTGATGATGTCTTTGCAGCCCGTTGTTGTTACAAAGATGGTGGCTTCTTTGCAGGCTTCTTCCATGGTAGTCACTTCATATCCTTCCATAGCAGCTTGTAATGCAATAATGGGATCGATTTCGGTAATGATGACGCGTCCACCGAAACCACGTAGTGCTTGCGCACAACCTTTGCCAACATCACCATAGCCGGCAACACAACACACTTTTCCAGCAATCATGACATCAGTGGCACGCTTAATGCCATCAATTAAGGACTCACGACAACCATAAAGATTATCGAATTTGCTCTGAAAAAAAGAAACGATAGGATTTTTATTTAAGTAAGAGACTGTAGAGTAACTGATGCAAACCTTGGTCACCGAGTCATTAACATTGATAGCTGGTACACCAAGGCGACCCTCCTTCATCATTTTATATAAATTATGTACACCGGTTGTGGTCTCCTCGCTCAAACCTTTGATGTCCTTCAGGTACTGTGGGAATTTCTCATGCACCAAATTGGTCAAATCCCCACCATCATCAAGGATCAAATTCAAAGGCTGACCATCAGAAAAGACCAAAGTCTGCTCAATGCACCTTAAAAGGTATAAAAAAAAATATTTAAGTACATATATAAGGAATTGAATAATTATTTAAGCGCCTCATTAGTACCATAAATATTCTTCATCAGTTTCACCTTTCCAGGCATAGACTGGCACACCGGTTTTAGCAATAGCTGCAGCAGCATGATCTTGTGTACTGAATATATTACAGCTTGACCACTGAACCTGAAAACAATAGGAAGAAAACATAATTTAAATAACTCATATATATGCATATATCTCATCTTACTATTGGATTGCCAATGTTATCGCTACAAAATCTTTTTGAACTTTTTGACCCGCATTATAATATCAACATAATAATACACTAAAAAAACTAATTGCTTACGTGAAATTTGTATGATATGAATATTGAATAAGCAAAATTATAATGCACACAAAATAAACGAAAACAATGTTGATAAGAGATTTTCAATATATCCGGCCCAGCCCAGAAAACATTTATTTCTTATATGCGAACAAGCAACTTACTTCAGCACCCAATTCGGTAAGGGTTTCTATTAACACGGCTGTTTGCACTGTCATATGGAGGCAACCAGCAATACGTGCACCTTTCAGAATCTTCTGTGGGCCATACTTCTTGCGAATAGACATCAGGCCAGGCATCTCGTTCTCGGCAATGATGATGGCTTTTCGTCCCCACTCAGCAAGGCCGATATCAGCTAAAGAAAAAGTAGAAGATTTAGATATTAGTGCTATTTTATTTAGCATCAATTTAGTTAAAATTAAAGTAAAAATTCTCCTTTTGTCAGTTACAGAAGTTTTAGTACCCGCAAAAGTTAACCTCTTTTGCATACTCACCAACTTTGTATTGTGGCTTCATTATGATTTAGGATGTTTGAATAAGACCTGTAAATATTTGGAAGGAGTAATGTACATCATTTAAAAATTATTATGCTAATTAAAAGACATTTATTGAAACTGGGGTACTTACACACAACCGGCACAAATGGAGATGGAGCAGAAAGTGAATTTGAATCTGACTGTGTCTGACCAAAAAGTCAACACGCGTTTATTATAAATAAATACAAAGGGTTGCATGTGCACATTGCCTTAAAAGCAAAAACTGGTATAAAAACTCATATGTTAAAAAAGAACGTATATGAAGAAGCAGCTACAAGACTCATACCAAAGAACGTATATGAATATGAAGCGACAAGACTCATACGGTTTTTGGGCAAATGCGGTAAAGTCGCCGCCAAAAGCAAACATTCAAAGCGAATTGAGCTTATATTTCCCCATATATTCATATTGGTTGACGAAAAATGGTGTGAAGAGGAAACCATGCAAACGGCCCTACCGCATTTGCACAAAGACCGTATGAGTCTTGTCGCTTCTTATTCATATACGTTCTTTGGTGGTATATTCATGGGAGTTCGGAACAAAACAAACTGTTTGTTTATATGAAAATAAATTGTGGGTTAGCAAAAAGGAAGGTTAATAATAATTCTTCAGACTAATATTTAGAAGTTCAGAGATGGAACTCGAAAGATTTTTAAAATCATCGAAGTTTATTTGGCAGATATGGTAGCCCTTAATTTCCAATTGGATTTTATTTAACTAAGTTGAATTGGTGTGGTGAATATAAAAGGGTTGCAATTATTATACACGATTAAGACTTTTGAAAAATAAATTATGAATTAAAATTACTTATTGATTTTATTAAATATAAACCAAGAAATAAGCTCAGGTAAGATTTTCCGTTTGGTTTGATAGTGCAAAAATTTATTTGAAATTTTATTCCATATTTTATACGACATCTGCTCTGCAGTGTTGCCGATGCATAAATAACTACGTTTTCACTAATTTGAAATGCGCAATGCAACGAATTGGAATTTTTATGTGCACATTTGCTCATCCCTGTGTCGCAGTTGTGCGCGAGAAGCCGAATTGTTGAGACGCGAGTGAAATTAGTGCTGGCTGAGCTGCTTTCATAGAATTCTCTGCTAGTAGTGGTAAATGAGTAACATTTGTGTGTGTGTTGTTTTTTTCTTGGTTTTTGAGTGCGCATAGCAACAAATTGATATTTGTGAATTGAATTTGGAGGGGAAATTGATATTCAAAACAAAAGTGTTGGAAAACGAAGTGTGAACCTGTGAATATAACTAGAAATTGCAAAATAGCAGTTTTGTGTGTATCTTTGGTGCCGAAAAGAAAGCTTTCGTTTTGGCCAGAAACCTAAAATAACAACTACAAATTACCACAAAGGAAACATAAAGCAGTGAAAAAAATTAGCTATATTCGGGTAAATAAATGATTTTAATTTTTGCTTTTTTTTTTTAAAGAAATTTTACAAGAAATCGCTCTAAAATGTAATGTCTTGGTTGAAGGCGAGTAAAAAATTGATAGCCACGATTATTGGCTTTAGCAGAGTCGGAATTAGCCCCGAAATTGTCGACAATTCTAGTTTGTTTTGTCTATATGTGTAGCTCGTTTGTTTGTTGCGCTTGTTCTCAATGAATGAAAAAAAAAACATGCTGACTCGCCACTGCATTAAATGCAATGAAACATAAATATTATAAGCGAAACCTCGATTTCATACCACTTATTTTTTGCCCGTTCTCATAGCGAGACGAATTAGAGCTCCATGTCTGCACCCTGTAGCTATTCATTCGTTAGATACACAACAACAATAACTAATAAATTATAACCAAAATAAAAGACAAAATTGAAGTAATAATAACAACAACGCTGACTTCATACATAGACGTTGAATAGCAGCAATGTTGGCGTCCCAACAACAATGTGTGTATATATGTACATATGTATGCGCGAAAACACGTACGCGCAAGCAAAAGCAATAATGAAAACAAAACAGGTTTCTACGACGTGAACGTCGACGCTAACGTCACAGTGGCGGTTACTTTAGCCGTTTGCTGCGGCGGCATTGCTTCCCAGCGTGTTTACACGTTAAAAAAGGTGGGGCGCAACGTGGCCAGTGTTGCCACGTAGCCTCTACCCTTACCCCTTTCCCTTTTCTAAACGAAAACAAGCAGTTCCGCGCGCTCTATTAAAAAATAAATTAATTTTATGTTGGTCAAATTTCAAAAAGTTTTTGAATGAAGCTTAAATTAGTACGAAAAAAAACTCAAAAATAAATATGCCTTGAGAGAGGAGTTAGGGTGGTCAACGAGTATGTTTAATTGAAAACAGTTATGTATATTGAGAACGTTTCAGTCCAACGGTTGGCAAGAAGACAAAAGGGAAAAAGGGAGTTAACCGATTGCTATTTATTGAATTGCCGACGTCAGTTTTGAACTTGACAAGTATAGGGTTTTGTTTTCGATCTCTGTGTAAATCAAAAGGTCAAACGCAAATGTTCATCGAATTAAATGATATTTTGTAGCGGAGTTAATCGAAATGTGTAACCTTCTACAGAATGAAAGTTTTAGGCCAAGCCATGACCTATTTTGAAAATAATGCGTTAGCCCTTTAAGTAATTAATGCATTTGATTTTTATTTCATTTTATTTTTTTTTTTCAACGAACCTTGTGCATATTTCCACAAGTACATTTTGAAAATTCTGATTAAATTTTTATTTAATCATTACAATGTGTTTCACTGTTATATAGCATAAAGGTTTCGTTTTATTTAAAAATTTAAAAATTTTAGATTTGTTTTCTTAATTTTTTTTTTGTGTTATTTATGAAAGGCAGTACACACTGAAAAACGTAAATTTATTTACTTTTTACGTTAGCTTTTAGGCAATATTTTATTAATTGCTGTAAGAATTATTGTTATGAAATATTTAATTAATAATTTAAATTTTTAAATTATTTCGTGTGGTCGTAAAACTTCCGAGTTATCTATGTATGCGCATACTACTTAATGCAATAATAAAAAAAATCGAAAAAGTGTTGTTTTTTGCTGACGAGTTTATTTGTACATATGTATGTACATACATACTTAAATTTATCTGTATGTTTGTATAAATGATCCCACTGACCTTTTTAAGGCAGAGTGGCACACTTTCCTTTATGCCGGCTGTGAATTATTTGGATGAATTATGATTAATAATAGAAATGAATTAATAATAGTAATGCTTCCCTAGTAACATTTCCTTACCGTAATCAGTTTCACTCAAAAGATACCTATCTCCACTACTAGTTTTGTATTATATAGCTGATTTCAATAATTTGAAATTTTTTTTGTTCCATTTTCAAATTAATTACATTAAAAATTGTTGGTAAATACTCATAGTTTCTTTTTAAAGCATTTTTTTTTTCAAATTATTTCTTAATGAATTTTTTTTTGTAAAGTGAGTAATAAATATATTTATCAAATTAAAATAATAACAAAGAGTTTGAATTTATTAAGTTGATTATAAAATAAAAGAGAAATAAGCAGTTATTTGGTTGAGAATTTAAACAAAACATGATAATTTATTTTTTTTAATACAATATAACAATTAAAAATAATTTATTTGTAAATTATAATAATTAATTATAAAATATTATTTTAATAACTATTCTTAAATTATTATCATTAATTAATTTATTTTTTTAACCACTTTAAACAATAAAATTTTGATGAAAAGCTGAATCTTTTGTCAATTTTGTACTGGTATGAGATTGATATCTTAAAGATGGTAAAATACTAGTTGGGCTTGCTACATACATATGTACATATACGAGTTTCGAAATGAGTTTAACGTAGTTATATATATATATACATATCTACATATATATGTATGTATGTATATGTATGAATGTAAATATAAAGTTATGTATATGTTTGTACTGCAAAGTAATAAAACAACTGCATTTATTTATTGTCCATTTGTTTTGCTCATTCGTTTCACAGTCTTTTCATTGAATAATCTAGTTATTTATGTATTTACATATGTTCATATGCATTTTATTCACTTGTCTTTTTCAAACATTTTAAACTGTTTTGTATATTTGAAACTATTTTTTTTCTTCTTTAATTTGTTTTTTATGTATTTTTCCATCCTAAATCATTATTGCAAAAACACAAAATTCAAACTGACAGTTGCCAATCGACGGAGCATTGTATACATACATACATATGTAAGTATGTAAATATGTATGTAAACATGGAATGAGCCCTTTGTGTTTAGCATCTGTCTGATCTTGATTTATTAGTAGGCATTCAGATTTTTTTATATTAAAAAAAATTTTTTCATTGTTCTAAATTTTTAAAGTATTTTTTACATTTAATTTTCAAAATATGTATAGAATTTTTTATTTCCAACTATACTTTTTATAAGTTTTCAGTTAACAAGTATTGAATAAAATATAGTTCAAAAAAAAAGCAGTTGCATATACTCAAATATACAATATGTACATATGTAGGTATGTATGTCCCTATATATTACTCTGAGACACTCAAAAGAATTTTGATCCACACAAATTTTCTATTTGGCGGATTTACTTATTCACCACTTGATTTTATTTTTACTTATGCTAACATACAAATATAATATATGTATGCATGTATGTATGTACATATGAACATTCATACAAACCAAAAAATATGCCGTAAGAGTTTTATTTTTATTTTATATGTATTTGTCAATTTAAATATCATTTATTCGCATTCGTTCGTTTATTCTTTCCTTTGCCTTTCATTCTTGCTATTTATTTATTGTCTCTTCTATTTTTCCTTTTTTTTTCATCTGTCTCTTTTGATGTTCTATTGAATAGTAAATTTTATTTTATTTTTTAGAGTCTCATTAATTTTGTTTTTGTTCAAATTATTTATATGCATACATACGTATGTTTGTATGTGCGCGTATTTTGTATTTGTACAAATTTTATTCATACAAATTCTGAAACGTTTTGGAGGTTTTGCGGTCGTTTCGTGCCGCATAGTTTTTTTTTTTGTTTTATTTTATTTTATTTTTGTTTTGTTTTATTTTATTTTTGTTTTGTTTTTGGTTTGGGCAACCAACCGTCAGCACACGCTTTAGCTTTACCACAGCTTGTTTAACACCCGCGTATGCGTGGCTGAGTATATGTGTGTGTTGGCGTTGGAGGCATTGGCGGCAGATTACGTCATTTTGCTACACTATATATGCACGTATGTATGTATTTGGTTGGCTGTTTGTTAGCTCATTCGCTCACTACGAAAATAACGTAATAATATGTTTGTTCGCATGGTTTTGCGTTAGGCGTGGAAGCCAGAAGCGACATCGAGTAGTTTTGTGGTCACCTTGATTTAAAATTTTGTTGGTAACTATATTTTTGAAAACTCGTTTTCTGTCAATTAAATGCTCTGGTTGGCAGTATTTGTGTTCTAAAGTGAGCTTTTGAAAGCAGAAAAGGAAGGAAAAAACTTAAGTAAGATGGAAACGGCGGCGTGTGGCACGTGGTTGAAAGTTAAAGTCTTCCACAACTCGTCACACTACACTCTGAAAAAAATGGCTTTGCTTGTTGGACAAAAATTAACGAATTTCCCCCAAGTCCAGCGAGTAACTTCTATTTAGTTCAGAAAAAATTTAACATTTCTTTTAAATTCTTCCACATTTAGCAGTTGATTATAAATATTGCTCCATACACCAAATTACTTTATGAATCCAATTGATTATATCATTTTATTTATTTGTTTAGTAATAATCGCTCAAAATTTATGAAATATGTACTATGTACATACATACATACTATAAATCTTTATGTATATATTCGGAGATTATTCTACATATTCTAAATATTGTTAGAGCGTCTGAATTACGAACTCAACATACATACATACTTATGAGAGCAATTGTGTTTATGATGACTACATCACGACACGCCAATAACAGCGCGGACTACATCATCGGTGTTAGCATCAACCACAACCAGTTCAGAGTACATTTTTAAATGAGTAATAGAAACGGCAAAATACTAAAAATGGAGTAAAGAATAGAATGTACATATACATTTAAAAAATATAAAATATTATATCTAAATATTAAAAACAATGAAATAAAAAAATTAAAAAAAAAATTTTA